GGAAAACCTCCAAATGCCGGACCATCGCCCGGGAATATCGAACCCAGGCAACTTTACGAAGTGGTCTCAATGGACTTCGTGACGCATATGCCGAAGTCCGACCGAGGAAATACGTTTTTGCTACTATTCCAAGACATGTTTTCTGGATATGTGATGTGCAAGCCGATGGATTCAACCACCGCTCAGGCTGTCGCGGAGGTGTATGAGGAACGAGTATTCCTGAACCTTGGAGCAAGTTCGATGATTCGGCATGATCAAGATCCTCGCTTTATGAGCGAGGTGTTCACTCATTTTCGAGAACTCTTGAATAGTCGGGCTACTTTGGGATACCGGCCTCAAGCGAATGGACAACAGGAACGATCGGTCCAAACAGTTGTAAGGAGTATTGGGGCCTATAACGAGCAAGCCGACCAAAGTGACTGGGACGACCATGCGGAAAGACTGATGTTTGCCTTAAATACTTCGTTCGACGCAACGCGTTTGGATACCCCGTTTTACTTGATTCACGGTTGGGACCCCCATAGCACTCTGAAAGCAATGTTGGGTCCGACGCCGTCCAGTATACCTGAAAGAACCGCTTACGAATGGAGACGAAAAGTTCAGATAGACTATAGCTACGCGCAAGCGTGTGCCGAGGACTTGCAGAACAAAGCCCGACGACATCGTTCCGACCTTCAAACACGAAAGTGGAAAGAATTATCCGAACGCCTGAAATCAGGTTTTCAGAAAGGGGATGCCGTATGGTTATATATCCCAAACAAACAGACTGGACTAAGCAAGAAGTTGGCGCATCTATGGCATGGACCTTTTCGGATCGATGAAGTATTGGATGATTTCAGGGTGAAATTAAAAGTTGACAAGACAGTCGTCTGAAGCCAAAAGCGTTGTTTCCCAAAAGACCGACAGTCAGTGTGGAGATAGCCGAAGAAGACGATTTTGATGCTGCATTGCTCCCAGAAGACAGTTGGGAAGCAGATGCTCAAAAGGATGAGTACGAGGTAGAAACGATTCTGGATCTTAGATGGTCTAAGAAAACTCGGACCTCCAAACGACGTCGGGAGTACCTGGTCAAGTGGAAGAACTATGACGATCCAGAGTGGTTTCATGTATCCCAACTGAACTGGGGGGGCATTACTCTATCAGTTCAATCAAGGTGCACGGGCACGTCCCCGCTTCCAGAGTATGCAAGCAGGAGATGTCCACCCGAGGAATTAACTTTTGAAAGGAGGAAATACTGCACTTGTGTGTGGAATAGCGAATAACAGGTGCAAGAATGACTAAAGTGACACAGACTCATAAAGGGTACGGGGTGATGAAGGAGGATTCTGAAAATCACAAACGGAAATAGAAGAACAGCTGATACGCATTTGGAAAAGATTGAGAATTGACACATTATGGAAGATGAAAATGAGAAAGAAACATCTGCAAAAGGCATGGTCCAGGAACGGACCGTGCCGGACGCCATCCTTTAGATGTCCTCAGAAATCGATTCCCATTCCGCTTGCGGAAGAATT